CCAGCTTGGACACGGGGACCCATACTGCCAGGCCAACCACATCCGCCCTTCACCCACGCTCTATAGATCATCAGCACCGACACGCAATCACCTGTGAGGAAAAGTGACGATGGCATCACCCCAACGGAGCAGATTAAGACACAAGCAGCAAGCCCGTACAGAACCTTCATTGGCACACCTGGGAGAGGATCATCAGTGCCACCATCTCTAAAGCACCCAGCGCCGACAACACGGAGCGCAAGAGCACGAAGAACGAAGAGGGCCACTATCGATGCCAACGAACCCCACGTCATCGTGGCTGTGACCCCTGAGGCCAACACCCCCACCGACAAGGCTACGACGGACGAAGAAGCCGAAGTTGCTGGGGAATCAACGGATCCATGCTGACGGTCACATAGCGGCGTTGAACCGCATAGGGACGACGCCGCACATGGTGTGTCTGGCGCACCACCACATACGACCGACCCAGACCAGCAAGACCCACCTCAACGGGACGACTGTGACATCAACCAACACACGGACGAGGTAATTCAGACGGGCAGACCAACAGGCCCTTACCACAGACTTGGACCAGCCATGGCGCCATTCCGACGGCATGCAAAGCCAGGGGCGCCCCTCATTCAAGGCAGCGGAACGACGGACGACGTAGAGAATACACGACGGCCAACACCACTACCATTTTAACAGCGCCAGAGGGCACCACAATACCACTACACCCCATGGAAAGGACTCAAGTGGGACTTAGCGACCGAGTGTTGACACAGGATGTGGGAGATCTACATCAACTTCGGCGACCCCACGACCTTCACCCTGCAAGTGTGAAAGCAGGCCCCTGCAGCGGCAGAGGCAACACATCGCATGGCTACGCCGAAGGGCCTGCCATCCAGGAGGCCAGCAACAGTGTCCACGGGCGACAGACGTCAACCGACGAGCAACCCTGCTCCGTGCGAAGGGGCCAACCATCGGGAGACAAGATTCCGAGGAGTCCAGCCAAAAAAAAAAGGTGAAGGCCAACTCCGCAATGACCGAACCAATCGCCGACATCCGCAGGCGCACCTCCACGCCCCACCCCACCACAGACTCCCCCGACTTATATGAACCAGAGCGGTTCAAGCCAGCAGCCATCACGGCACTGGGACTTGCCCCACCCAGAAACCACGGAATGATCAAGGGGATCCACCTGTACACCGACGGCACTGACCAGAGCGACTCCACCAAAGACGCCTGGGCTGTAGTAGTTACCATCGAAGATGACGATGGGTTTGCGTACCTGGGCACAATGCCAGCCAAAGCCACAGACTCTACGACGGCAGTCACGGACAAGCCTACATCAACGACGGCACAAGTGGCTGCGCTAATTTTGGCATACGCTCGGATACACAACCAAGCACAGGCCCACAGCAGCATACCAGTAAAGGTGCACACCGATTCCAAGGTGGCCATTGGGCTAGCATAGGGAGCGCTTGTACCTCACAGCAACTACGATTTGACCACACTCACAACCCAGCTACACCAGCTGGCATCCAACGCCACTGACCTTCCCAACGGCCACGCGTACGCTCACACAGGCCACCCTTGGAACGAGCTGGTTGATTCGGTGGCGAAAGGGGGCCAAGCCAACGTGACGAGACAAGCCCACAGCCAGAATGGACAGAACTATGCGAAGCGCAACAGCATCGGCAGTCATCGGCATTTCGATGCGCAACAACATCGGCATGCTCCTGGCGGCCCCTGGCGACCGCGTGGACTTTGTTCCACTTGCGGGAGGTCTGCGGTGGCTCCCACACCCAAGCTCCTGGCGGTCCCCTGCGACCCCCCGGAATTGGCTTCAAGTGCGAATCGAGTCGAGAGCCCATACGCCGTTTGGCGCGTGGACAGGACAAGCGCGCATGCCAATGAAGAAGAAGAGGTGGCGCATCACGGCTGCGACGCAAAAAAACTAAGCGCCCCACGACTCTGAAGCAGAGAAGACGGAGGAAAGGAGGGGGGGAGGACGCACTACAGGAAATCGCCCTCACCTCTGCCGAAAGCGAACTCGGCACAGAACCCTCGCCACTGTATCTGCTCCTGCGCGGCCTCGCACAAGCATTAGTCAGAAGAGAAGCGACCCCGGATTTTGCGATAGTATTCCTTTGTCCATTCATGTCTGGGTCTCCCAACTGGCCGCTTGCACGAGTCGGTCGCCAGTCGGGGACTACTTGGCTGAAAACTGAGTTGTCGTAAAGCATATGTGTCATGTTTCCCAAATAATGCAAACTTGGTGTCGTAGTAACTGTGATGAGTATGATTGTTGACCAGACTGTTGAAAGACGCGTTTGTTTGATAATTTAGATATGTACGGGTGCGAAACGCAACAACAAACCTCAAACAACGGGCATGAAACCCATCTATCCTTCTCTCTGCTGTGTTAAGCCACACCTGACTTAAGGAATACACTACTCTGCTTGTGATGATAACAAAAGGCATTTCCAGCTTGCGCTTTTTTGTTCACCGCAATGTGTTGCCACGCATGCGCATATGTTTGAAGTTCAGCCGTGCTGCGCCCAATCTCCGCCCCACCTCTGGTTTGATGTCTCCTCTGTCGTAAAGAGTGGCCCAAAAAATATTTCATGCGCGACGTAAGCGCCATGATTTTCCCAGCGAGGTCTTTGATACGCTCTTGACAAATGACTTGCAATCGGTGAATCTATCCCAGTGCAGCTCCATCCCACGTTTGCGCCTGTCTCGACAATTTCGCTCAGAAGTTGTTGTAAATAGAGTTCGCGTCCAACCAACACTGTATCGTCTGCATATAAAAGAACTAATAGGTCCCCACAACCCATTGAACGTCGAGCATCGGCATCCACATTCTCTCCACGCTTTTGACCAATACCGACAGAACCATGACAAACAAAAACGGCGACAATGGGCACCCTTGTGCAATCCCTGACTTCTTCTCCCTGCCCCCTGACCTCCGGCTCCCATATGCGACGCAAGAGCGGCGAGAACCGAATATGTTACCAATAAGCTGCTGCAGCCTCGGCGGCATGCCGAAAGTCGTGAGTGCATCGAGAAGGGCGTCCACGTCTATCTTGTTTTGATCTGAAGCCAATAATGCAACTTTGCCCCCGCGTGTGGCGCGCGCTAGCTCCATATGTCTGCGCGCTGCGTGAGTGCGTCGGTCTTGCCGTTTTTTCGCCTGAATCCGTATTGCGTCCCAGTTAGTCTGCCTTTGGCCCCTGCTTCTTGGAGCCTCGTCAATAACAAGCTCGCGGACAACTTGTACACACATAAACGGTGTGATTGGGCAATAATTGTCGCATTGGTCCACGGGGCTTTTGTTCTTGTATATGGTCGCCACCACTGCGTGCCGCCAATCATCCGGTACTTCTTTATCGCGCCAGCATTGGTTTATCAGCTTCGTGATCGTCTCCAGCCCTTTCGGGTCCGCACCGAGGATTTTCTAATATTCTGGCGAAGTGTCGTTTGGTCCAGGTGCATTCCCCTTCTTTGAATTGGAAGTTGCCTTTCGCACCTCTTGCATTGAGAAATCGTTGTCTGAAATAAGCAATGGTGGTCCCAGTGGCTCACGCGGAATGAGCGTCGCAGGTCGCACTTTACACTGCACTGTCTCAAAGTACTCCGCCATTGTATCTGGTTTCTCTGTGCGTTCAACAAGTTCGCCATCCGAATTCCTGATCCTTCCCTGCCTGCGCGGCTTTGGCCGGCAAACTCGCTTAAGTGAGGCCCGATTCCAATCGGCGATTTGCCGGTCAAGCTGTTCTACGGAAGGTCGGCGTTGGCTCCCAGAACCAGGCTCCTGGCGGCCCCTGACGACCTCCAATAATTGGCTCCATCGACGGTAGGTCAGCATTGGCTCCCAGAACCAGGCTCCTGACGGCTCCCGGCGACTTCCCGTAATTGGATCCAATTACGGGATTACGGGAGGTCGGCATTGGCTCCCAGAACTAGGCTGCCGACCTCCCGAAATCTGCCCAATTACGGTAGGTCGGCATTGGCTCCCAGAACCAGGCTCCTGGCGGCCCCTGGCGACCTGCCGTACTTGGCTCCAACGACGGTAGGTCGGCATTGGCTCCCAGAACCAGGCTGCCGACCTCCCGAAAATAGTTCCAATTACAAGAGGCCTACAGCGGCTCCCAAAACCAAGCTCTTGGCGGCCCCTGGCGACCTCCCGCACTTGGCTCCCATTAAGAGCAGCCTTCTGGCGGCCCGTGGCGACCTCCCTTGATAAGCCCCAAGTACAAGAAGTCAGCGTTGGCCCCCAAAACCAATTTCCTGGCGGCCCCTGGCTACCGCCTGAAATTGGCTCCAATTACGGGAGCTCGGCATTAGCTCCAAGAACCAGGCTGCCGACCTTCCGCAATTGACCCGAATTACGAGGAGTTCGGCATTGGCTCCCAGAACCTGGCTCCTGGCGGGCCTTGGCGACCTCCCGCAATTGGCTCCAATTACGGGAGGTCGGCATTGGTTCCCAGAACCAGGCTCCTGGCGGCCCGTGGCGACCTCTTGCAACTGGCCCCAATTACGGGAGGACAGCATTGGCTCCCAGAACCAGGCCGCCGACCGACAGGCTGACCCGAGGGCCGCAACCGCGGGTAGCTAGGTTTCCCGAAAAGGGGGGGCCTTGGAAACGCAAATCTGTGGCCGCGACCGCCAGCGGCGCCAGGGCAACCCCGCTTCCAGGCCGCGCGGATAGGATCATCGAGGGTTGTTGCGGTTTTTTTCCAGGACAACGCTGAAGTTCAATTCACTGGTCGAATCGTCTCGCCTGACCTTTGGCGACCTCCCCAAATTGGGTCAAGTGCAAAAGGCTTTATCCGACTGAACATCCAAGGGGGGAGGGGGGCCATCGCGCGGAGGGGGGGGGGCCGATGGCATCAGCACGAGGGGGAAGGGGGGAGCCCAAACCCTGGACGATCATATTGTGTATTTCCCCTTTCTGGGCGACAAGGGAGGAGGAGACGCCTACCGCAGCTGGACACCAGCCTCTTCTCGCCTGCCCGGTCGTCCTCCTGCGCTGCCGCAGGCGCACCCCGCGGCTCGCTGCGCGCGGCCAACGAGGCCCCGAGACGCCACCGGCCTAGGGCGGATGTCATCCGGCAGCGGACGCAGCACCTCGGGGTCGCAGTCTGCGAACGTAGAAGCCGCCTGGATCTCGCCGCATCGCCATTGCACCGGCGATGCGGCTCGATGTGGAGCCCGCCTTTCTCCATTCCGAAGTCGTCGAAGCATCGCAAACGTCGCCGATGCATAAACGATGCATGAGCGGTGTGTCGGCGATGCATCGGCGACGCGGCGCGATCCTCCGACCCAATTTATTTGGAACCCGTCAGGACTACCAGAGAGGCCTAAAAACCGCGCGGCAGGGTCGTGCGTCGTGGCGACCGGTCCGTTGGCTTCTGACACCACCGTTCAGCCTCGGACGATCGCAGCTTCTCGATCGTGCGGATCGCTTCGCATCGGCCGACTTTGGAGGCGGCGTTCAACTTTGAACGCCCGCGCTGGGGTCACCACCGCGCCGACACGTTACGAGCCTGCCGTACTATCGCTAGGTTTCCAGAATTACGCGCCGCCCGCCGCGCTGAACGGCGCGTAATTCTGGAAACCTGGCGAGAGTACGGCAGGCTCGGTGCGATTGTCGTCGCGCCCTCGCGTCGCCGCCCTGGACATGGACAGCTCCTACAGCCAAAAACGCGGAGCCCGAAGCGCGATTATCTTCGCGCTCCTCTGGGTGGCCTCGGTACATCTGCGTGGATTACACGGGTGTGGCTGTATGGCTGCAGCGAGGCACGAGGTACAAATAGGGGGACCCGCGCTAGAACAGAGCACGTTCCCTTTCCTTGTACGGAGGCGCGGGCGCGTCCGTCACCGGCGCGCCATGATAGCTCAAGGGCCCCCGTGAGCCGATATGGCGGCGCACAAGGGAGCACAGAGAGAGGCGCAGGAGGAGGAGAGGCTGACAGGGCCTCTGCAAACACAGCTCCTACTTTTCTTGCAGCCGAGACGACGCCTCGCCTCAGAAAATGAAACTCTCTCAGTAGATACCGTAGCCCTTCCACGTACTGCTAGAACCTCAATGACGCGCGGCTGGAACAGCTTCACGAACACACAGGACTCGAGAGCACCTCTAAGAGAAATCCTTGAACGGATTGTCTGACATCAGGCCCATGAAACTCTGTGGCTCGGCTCCACGGTGGCCGCATGTTTTGCCAGTGCGCTCCAAGGACCGATCTGCCGCACTGAGCTCGTTGGTCCACTGGGGAACACACCTCTCGTCCTTGGGGGCCAGTTTGACCTCGAAAATCTGTATGTCGGCGTCCTCGATCAGTTCATCTGAGAACGCGCGTGCACTCGGAAACGCCGTCGGGATGGCCACGGCCGCGAGGTTCATCCTGACCGTGCGATCCCAGACCTTGTGCCATCCGAAGACTTGCTCCTTCGCCTGCATCTGGTCCCAAATCTCCCCCGTCGTCGCGGCGTGGATCCACGCCGCCTCGACGTTGACGCCGCCGTCGGCCTGGCGCCACTGATCGCGGGCACGCGGCGCGGGTTAGCCCGCGCGACGGCGGCCGCCCACCTGCAGCTCGAAGACGCAAGAGTACAGGCTCATCTTTGGGCTGACGTCCGACGGTACACGCACCGCGCAGTGAGCGCGCGAGGCACGGCGAGACGCCCTCTCAAAGAATATGCCGTAGACGTTCTCACAGCCCGAAGGTCCTGGCCCCTGCTCTAACGGCCCCTTCTTGCTCCAGATGGATGCCAATGCTGCCACGTCGGCATGTGCCTCCTCCCCGTTAAACTCCTCGTCGCGCTGCATCCCCCGCGCGCGCACCAGCGTCAGATCCAGCACCCACCACTGTCCAGTTGGATGCGCCACTAGCCCCATGGACATGAGGACCATCGGTAAGTCCCGAGATATGTTCACGAGTAAAACGGAGATCTCGATCCCAGACTGAGATTCCAGAGCCAACGCGACCAAAGCAGTCGCAGTGAAGGGCGTCGAGAAGGTGCTTTCTCGTCACTTCGACCTCGTGGCTCGCCTTCCACTGGAAGGCTTCCAGTGTTCGCTCATCATGTTGTTGAAGACCTTCTTGTTTGTTTCCTGGAAGGTTTGTAAGTCTTCCTCCAGTGAGAATTGGTGTACCTCAACCTGCTCTGCTGGAATTCCTTCCAGTCCTGCAACAGCGGCGCAGTGATCAATAATCGCCGCAGTCTTCACGGCCTCGGTCACAGATCCGCCCATTGGTGGAAGATCCTCGACGAAACCTGCGATGACGGCCACTGCGCCGCTCATCTCGGTGAAATTCTCCTGTCGGCATCCAAATTCTCCCCCTCCGCCTACTTCGTCGAGGGCCCTGGCCTGGTCCGCGACGTCCTCGCTGACCCACTGGCCTTTTTCGCCGGCCCCCCCAACTGTCGACCATCATCTGCTGATTTTCCCGTGGGCGATGCCATATGTTTCCACCGATCCTCGGAAGGTCGCTGCAGTTCACGTCGGCGATAATGGCCAGCGCTGCAGGCACCCAGCGATGCAGGTCGTGGACTGGCGCCGCGACGAACTCTGACAAACGGCGAGGATCAGAAGGGTCATTGAGCTCGGTGTCCGTGCACACCTGGAAGTATGCATAAAGGTCGTCGTAGCCCTCAGTCTCGTCTCCGTTCATCAGGTAGTCCTGCACGATTTCGCACTCGAACGCGAGGCACGACTCAACCAGACTCTGAGCGATGCCAAATGGCATTTGCGTCAGCAACTTCAGCCAAACGCGGAGAGAAAGCTGTCTCGGGCACCGATGGTGCACGGCCGTCATCTCCGACGCGCGGTCTTTGAAGGTCTCGCTGAAACTCGAGTTCTGAGCGGGCGACTGAGCGCGGCTCGTTTGTACCAAGTAAATAATCACATCGTCGGTGGGCAAGCGTCCGCTCCTCGAGTTCAGATGGTTCGTCCTTCATCGCCTCCACCTGTTTCACCAGGCCTTGCCTCAGCTGCAGGACCCTCTCGTTCTCCAACCTCAATATGTAGTCCAATGAAGACTGCTTGCATGCCGGTAGCAAATCTGGCAGAGCGACGAGGTCCTCCACGGTGGCCCAGGCGCAGTAGTGATCTCGGGCAGGACAACCCAAATTCTGAACACGCAGGTAAACCACTTCCGTGCGAGAGCTATGCTGTGGCCCCCGCACTTCGGGTGGTGCCAAATAGACGTGCCCGAATTTCTTGCGCAGTAAGATTTTGGTCTTGTCGCTGGGGACCTCCACTGCGTCATCCACAAGGATGCGCAGATCAGCTTCGTCGCTCAGTTCTCGACGCGCCGCGTACCTGGCAGCGCGATCGAAGTCCAGGTCTCGCTCGTGAGCAACGTTCCGATCGGCGCGATCAACTTGTCCTAATGGAGTGGCGACCGCATTCGAATAACTCACCCTGAGGCTCCGACGATGGACCAAGACATTGACGTTGATGTTGTCGTCGGGGAAAAAGACGCAGACACCGACGGTCCCGACGCACTTCGGCTTCGGGAGGAGAACAAGCCACAGCGGTCTCCTGAACCGCGTGGTCAGCGAGGTAAGACGTTGACGAGAAGACGCCGTGCTCCTGTCGCAGATTTCTTGGTTCCTCTCGCCGCTGGAGCTTCGCCCTCTGGTGCCTCTGGAGTCGGCTCCAGATCATCGTTGCCCCCCATGACCTGGCCAGACCACCGGCGATAGCTCTCCTCGGTGCAGGCCTCGCAGGGCGTCTCGCACTGCTGCGGGGCGTTGCCGCCGTAGACGCGGTCGCCCGGTGATGCACCAGGGTAGGGCGCCCACCAAATAGCTCCACGTCCTCTGCGATGACTTCTCCCTGTTCGTCGTCGCCCTCGTTTGAGCCTCCATCCTCGTCCTCGACCTCCTCGATCTCCGCGAACTGCTCGGTCTGGCGCCTGGCCTTATGCCGACGCCTCTGGTGCTAATCCCTTCCTGCTTGGATAACCTCCTCGGACATAGGTTGAGCCCGCGCACGGCCTAGCTTCTTCTTGGTAGATTTTCGGGCCCCCCCCGCCATCATGCTGAAGTGGCCTCTCGCGTCGCCCAAGGCGCGCCTGATCCTATGGAGGCGATTCCGCAGCACTCTCTTGAAGTAGCGGCTCCGGGGGCCCAAGGTGTGGCATTTCAAGGAAGGTCGTGCGAGCTGGTTCATTCTGGAAGGCTGGATGCGTTGCATCTCCGAGTGCACCGCGAACTTATAGGAGAAGGTCGGCAGCCCCCCAGAGCAGTCCGCTGGGTTCGCGGTCTGTGGGTTGAACGCCTTGTGATCCAGCCTCTCAAATTGGAGTTGAGCGCAAGCGAGTCCGTCCTCCGCCTCGATGCGCTGATTGGTCAGCGCTGTCTTGGTCCGCTGGCAAGTCGAGGCACCGCCGCAGCTTGACCCGCTGAATTTCAGCTGGACGACCCTCTCCTCACGGATCAGGGAACCACCATCGGCATCATGCATCTTGGCGAGCAGCTGGCCCACACGACGAATTTCAAGCTCGAGGTGCCGGCTTCGACATGGAGTGCGATGCGAGCCGCGACACGATGGACATGCGGCACCGAGTCTGATTGCATCCCCTCCCTCGGGACCTCCTCAGGTAGCTCGAGGCGGTTGACGTAATCCTCGAGGGTCTTGTTGTAGTCGTGCACGCGACGTACCCTTTTTGCTTGTCACCCCTGCGTTCGATGATCCTCTGGCTCATGCCCGCTATCTTCTCATCTCTCTTTTTCTCGGCATAAGATGACCGCGGCCCCTTGTCGGCATCCTCCCAGGCCGCGCAGGCCACAACATTGCTGTCGCCGCCGTCGTGCGCAATGACGCCTCTGCCTCTGCTGGACTCGAAACGACCCAGGGAGTGCGGATTGCGCACGTCGGTGGCCCTGCGCTGCTCGCCACGCAGCTCTTCGTCGATCTCCGCGGCCCCCGCGCCGCCCACGCCCATGAGGCCCTGGAAGTCCTCCAGGGCTCTCTGGAAGAATTCTCGGCCGGTCTCTCGCACGCCGCCTGCTTCTTGTCATTCCCGAAGAGCGCGGCAGAGAGACGTGCGCGGATGGCGTTCAGGGGGCGCCACTGGCGCCGAGCGGTGGAACGCAGCCCACGGGTCGTCGGCCGA